GTTCGTTGACACCCGCGTTGAGAACGGCGAAATACACACAAAAATACAGCGCGCGCAGAACGAAATCCAGATACTTGAAAACAATAAACATACGCTGGAAGAGATAAAAATTGATTATTATAGATAAAAAACGAAATATTGATATGACGTCAACGCCGAGGTAAGGCGATGTAAAGGAAGAGCAGGCATGGGCCGCAACGTCGTACCAACTATTAGGCGAGAGCGCGCTAAAGCAATTGGCAAAACTGCAATATTCTATAGGCAGCTAAGAACGCTTTTGTGATCGCGGGTCTATAGCAGCTGGCTCAAGAAAATTTCATGACCGAAAGTTTCTATATCCTAAGCGACATAAGACACCGTTGAGACGGCTAAAGAAAATTGAATGGTTGCGAGTTTATGCGGAGGGCAAGTCATCTGCTTCTCGCGCAGGGGTTGCGGTGACGTCAAACGACACCGAGTTCTGGTTGGCTTTGATTGGTTGGAGAGTTTGTAGACCTCATGTAGATACGCCTTGAAGTCTGCCCACTATTTTTTTTTTCACTCAGCCAATAAGAGTTTGGTGTTCTGACATTTTCGTAACTCCTGTACATGAAGAATACGAACTTGATTTGGAAACATACTTTTTTTTCTATACATTGAAAGGTCGGATATCTATTCGCGGATAGAAGCCCGCGGGGGGCGCTTTTGTTTTCCTCACTCTAGGTAGTGCACGTGCTACCCACGCGGTAATGTTTCAATTTTCATAGTGTGTAGGAGCTTGGCATCGCACATGCTTGCACCAGCAGAAGTTGAAGTATCCTCACTGGAGGTTGTGAAAGAATTCCACCAGGCGGCGATACCCAAACTTCTCGCCGGCAATAGCCTTGGTGACGTAGGACACCCCTGAGTCGGCTAAAAAAAATTCAATGGCCGCGAGTTTATAGATTTAGATGCATACACATCTCTATAGCTACATATGCATATTGTTCTATAGCCGGCTATAGGAATTTGAATGCTCGAAAATCTATAGCTTTGAAGACGACATATTATTCAGTAGATAACTATAGCGTATTTTATAGCTTTTAGGGCTGACCATAAAGGGTCACACACGGTGATAGCTCACCATAGGATTTTCCATAAGCGTTTACAGACTATTTTCGTATGCATCACAAACGTCAAGTATACATATTGCCGCGCGCAGGGTCACGGACTTCTAGAAGGTTCTCGTCTATTCTTGCTCCGGACATAACTTCTATCATTTATTCCTGCTTTTGTTGTTCTAGAAAGTGCGTGTTCATTCTCGCCAAGAGCGCGCGGCGCTCGAGCCTTCTAAGCCGAATCTTCGAGGTAGTAACTCACTCTCGATAAGAGGCCGCCCTCGACCTTCTCGAGTCAGTCTCGCTCTCGCTCTCTGTTACGCCGCCGAATCTCCGCCTGATTTTCTGCTGTCTCGACGCTCTTTCTTTACTTATTTTGCTTGGCACAAGTTCGCCCATTAAACCTTTATTTTTCAGTTCAATGTTCGTCTTCTCGTCACCTTCATTCCTGACATTTCTGGTGGAGGTGCGGGGTATCAGAGCTCAACATCGACCCATCCCTCCCAGCCCCACAACGACGACAACTCGGTGACCTTCTCGCCGAGTTCAGTGAGTGCTTCTCCATGTCGTCAAAGGTGCGCCAAACGAAGGTTGCGAAACATCAAATAAGTACTGATGACGACGCACGTCCCGTGCATCGACCGCCGTACAGGGTCTCCATGAACGAAAGGGAAGCGATCCAGAAGCAAGTCCAGGAAATGCTTGATGACGACATTGTCCATCCCTCAAACAGTCCATAGGCTTCTCCAGTAATCCTGGTGAAGAAGAAAGACGGAACCCTGAGGTTCTGCGTGGACTATCGCCGACTGAACGCAGTAACAAAAAAGGACGTCTATCCGCTGCCCCGCATCGACGACACCACGGACCAGCTGCGCCACGCCCGATACTTTTCGTCGATGGACTTGAAGAGCGGGTACTGGCAGATTGAGGTCGACGAAGGAGATCGTGAGAAGACGGCCTTCGTCACGCCGGACGGACTGTATGAATTTAAACTAATGCCGTTCGGGCTGTGTACAGCGCCGGCAACCTTCCAGCGCGTTATGGACACCCTCCTTTCCGGCTTGAAATGGCAAAGCTGTCTCGTCTACCTCGACGACGTTGTGGTGGTCGCAGGTGAAATCGACGAGCACCTGAGACGACTGCGAGCCGTGCTACGGGCCTTCAAGGCTGCTGGGCTGAAACTCAAGCCTTCCAAGTGTCGGTTCGCCTATATGAGCTGAAATTTTTGGGCAACGTGGTGAGTGCTCAGGGTGTAAGCCCTGATGCTGCAAAGACGTTTGCTTTCGCTGAATCCCCGAAGCCATCTGACAAGAAGGCCGTTCGAAGAATCCTTGGGCTGTGCGCCAACTACAGATGTTTCGTTGCACAAATTTCTGCACCGCTGACGGATCTGACGAAAGACGACGTGCAGTTCCAGTGGGTAAAGGAGCAAGAAAAATTGCGGAGGCTTAGCTCGGCTATGCCAGGATATATGTAGCGTGAGCTTATGCACACAAAATGAGAGGCGCTATCAAGCGGCTCCGGTGCAGCGTCAGACTTGGCTACTGCCCAACGGAGGCGCACAGCTGGGCACACGGCGGCGCCAGTGTGTCTGCCGCGGCTATGACGCCACTCCTCTGGAATGCGCAGACCGGCGAGGCGCGCGCGGCGGCGGCGGAGCGCGCGGCGGCGGCGGCTCCGGCAAGCCAGCTGTGCGCCGTGTGACGTCACTGCTCCTCGCGCATGCGCAGCACGGCTCTTTGGGGAGCCAGGCGAAACTGTTCAACCTCGGCCAGTGCAGCTCACGCTACAAAAGCGTTCGACGCACTCAAACGAAGGCTCCAGTCGCCCCCTATCGGGCATTTTGATCAGTCGGCGGGGATTGAAATCCACACGGACGCCAGCAATGCCGGTCTCGGTGCGGTACTCGATCAGCGACAAGAAGAGACAGAGAGAGTAATCGCTGACGCCAGCCGGGCGCTAAGGCAGAACAAAATTATTCAACGACCGACAAAGAATGTCTTGCTGTCGTCTTGGCGACAACCAAGTTCTGTCCGTACCTGTACGGGATCCCGTTCCGCGTGGTCACAGACCACCACGCCATCTGCTGGCTCGCCAACCTAAGGATCCACCAGGGCGCCTCGCCCTGTGGCATAAGTCCGGCCGCAAGCATAATGACAATGACTGTTTGTCTAGGGCTCCAGTCGAACCTCCCAATGCCGGCGCCGACGACGATGACGACGAATGTTTCCTAGGTGCCGCAGACACCAACGACATGGCAGGACCTCAACGAGACGATCCTGAGCTGCGCGCCCTGAATCCTAATTGAGCATCTAGAAGGACGAGGAAGTACGGTTTCTCCTGTCTTTCACGAGCCCTGCCGACCTTCGCTATTCGGCGAGGTGTACTTTATAAGAAGAATTTCGGAACCAGTAATTCGCCGTTGCTTCTGGTAGTCTCTACCAGCCTTCGAGAAGAGATTTTTCAAGCCTGCCACGACGACCCGGCTTCAGGACACCTCGGTTACAGCCGGACACTAGCCCGAATACATTAAAACTACTACATGCCCAAGCTTCCGAAGACCGTCCATCTCTACACACGATCGTGCCGCGAGTACTAGCGACGGAAGAAACCGCCGTCAAAGCCAGCAGGTCTCCTTAAGCCGATTACCTTTCTAACCAAGCCCTTCCAGGAAATCGGAATGGATTTGCCGGGTCTTTTTCCACCGTCGAACTGCATACCATCCGCAGACCAACGGGTTGACGGAGCAGCTCAACAAAACAATCGCCGACATGGTACGTTAACCTGGAGCACAAGACCTGGGACGAAGTGCTGCCTTACGTCACGTTTGCCTACAACACAGCAGTGCAAGAGACCACAGGAGTGACGCCCTTCCAGCTGGCGTATGGCCGGACGGTGACGACTACACACTAAAAATTTCAACACCCATGTTCGTGTTAAAAGGGTGTTTTTCCGAGCTCACACCCTTCCTACACCATTTTTACATGATTTTTGAATATTCAAGGGTGTACGGAAAGGCCTACACCCTTCCTACATCCTTTTTACACCCTACGGCTACCGAAATCGTGTTAAGAGGGTGTTGCGGTGGTACACCCATGATTTCCGAATCGTCGAACTCGGAAACCGCCGAATTGCAGACATAAGCGCCGACAGCAGAAGTCAAGAAGCAGCCTGCTCAATTTAGAGGATTTCGTGAAGTTCAAGTAAGCACAATGGGCAGCTGACATCCAAGCCAAGCCAACGCTCAAGTTGTTTTCAAGCCAGATGAATGCCGGCGTTGTGTACAAGCTCCTTGGTTGTTTACGCGCAAGCGACCACGAAAATATCATCGGTTACTCACGCACTTCTGCTCAGAATGGTGAGACCACATCGGTTCTATTATGATACCATCCGTCTCATCCTGAGATGTACTAAAGGAAGGCTAGACGTGCGAGACGGTTCGGGCTCACAGCTTTACTGTGAGCCTGTACCGTAAAGGTCGGTTCCGACACTTGCGTTTGAGTGTGTTTGTCTGCGTTGCGTTTAGAACCGAAAACGAGTCACCGGCACATCTGTGCTTCGTATGAAGCGTGGATTCCAATTCAAAGAATCATCTTGGCACGCGATATAAGCAGCAGGGATGTCCTGGTTTCTCGCAGCCGCAACGCGGTCAAACGCAACTGTTTGAACCAGGCTTTACGTGGTTGTCCTGGGCTTGTTCCTCGCGCTTTATTCTTTCGATTTTAAGTATTCATTTTCAACTCGCTCGCTTTTACCAGTACTAGTAGATACTCAGGCTGCACGAGGGTTCGTGCAGTGCGACCATCTAGCGATGCTATGAGCTTGTGGAGGACGTAAAATTTTCGTTCCGTCAATTCGACAGCCTTTTCGGTAGCCTATAGCCAGCTGTGACCTTCAAAGACCGATCATAAGAAGCTTCAGAACTACCGGCGACGTCCGAGCAGTCGCCAGTGAAAAGCCACTCGTAAGGGTGGTCTTTTCTAGACCCCAATCATGATGCCCGGCTCCACGATCGAACTTCCACAGCAGAGCATTGAAAGCGCCGCCACCAACGTCACAAACCCAGTATCGACAGACCACATCACCCCTGGACAACACTGCATGCCGAACGACTCAACTCACGATGCTCATGACACCGCGTCCAAGTTCTGGACGTCCGAGTCGGTAGCGAACTCGTCTGAGACCGGGGTCGAAATTATGGATGAAAGCAACACCAACAACGAAGAGTGGAACAAGGCACGATCACGTAAGCGATCACACAAAACACTGTCCGACTCTGCTTCGAGTTCGGGAACAGTTCGCAAACAGCCGAACGTCAGTGAAGGACTCACAGTAATCTTTGCCGCTACGAAGCCTGACCAAAAGCTAGCAACTTTAAGCAGCTTGAGGCTTTCCAACGCCCTAGAGAAGCTCTGTCCAGAGTGCATCCTTCAGATCCGCCCCAACGAGCGCCTCAACGTCGTCGCCGTTGATGTGCGCAACGGACAAACAACAAGGACGCTGCTGAAATGCCCTGAACTTTGTGGTGTCTCTGTCAGGGCCTACCAATCCCTCGAGGGCCCCACATCGATTGGTGTCATAAAAAATGTCGATGCTGAACTGTCAGATCCTGAAATTCTAGAAAACCTGCGATCGGATGGCCGCATAGCCAGAGTACGTCGTCTTGGGGCGACAGGTGTCGTAAAGCTGACATTCAACAGTTCACCATTGCCAAGCTTCGTGCTGCTAGGACGAGTACGACACCAAGTGACGGATTTCAAACCCCGTCCAATCCAGTGTCGCAACTGTGGTGGTTTTGGGCACTTTGCAGTCTCATGCACACGTTCTTCCGCATGCTCTCGTTGTGCAGAGCCGCATCCTATAACTAACACCACGAGCAACACCAAATGTAAATCCACGGTGATCAAGTGCGTCAACTGTGGAGAAGCACATGAAGCTACATCTCCAGCGTGTTCAAAATGGAGAGAAGAGCAAAATGTCGTCACGTACGCCAAGAGAAATGCCGTTGACTACCGCTCTGCCAGAATTATTGTAAAGCAGGCGTCGGGAGTCATACCAGAGCCCATTCTCAATGTGGTGGCCAACAGCACCTCCAAGAAAAGTGGAGAAGCCCCAGTGCAGGACAGGCAACCCCCAGCCCTTGACGATAAGGGTTTAAGCTATGCCGCAGCACTCAAGACCGATCCTCAAAAAAATATCGAAAGACCACCTAACAACAACTCTGCAACAACGTCTAATAAGCCAAAACCCGGTGTCACCATTCCGACGGGCACTGAAAAGTCGACATGCAACGGAGCATCTATCAAAAAATCTGAACACTCAACGGGAGTCACCAATATTGAACCAACATCAACGGCTGACTCTTCAAAAAGATTACCCCGAGATGCTCCGGAAAAACCTACGGCAAATTGGATAAAATTATTCAGAATAGCAGCAGAAATGGCGTGCGCTTATCTTGATGGCATTGATGCCTCGTGGGCACACATTCTATGCGGTTTCATTCAGGCAGCGTTCCCACTGCTGAATATAGCATAATGCTGCATCCCAACATCCACCCAAAGAGACGCACCCGAAATATTGCATGTCCAACAGTGCTTCAATGGAATACTAACGGCATACAACAACGCCTCTCAGATCTACGCCTACATTTAAAGACCAACCGATACGACGTCCTAGCCCTTCAAGAAACTCGTATAAAATACGGCAAATTCAGACTTTCTCCATACGTCGTTTATCAGGGCCTACTGCCAGTTACTGAAAACACGAAGAACGAAGTGCCGAAAGCCACGATACTTGTCCGAAGAGAACTGGATCAGCGTCAAATAGATTTGACAGACTTATGTGACGATGCTGCTGAGTTCACCGGTGTAACGATACGTAAAGGGGACTGTGACACCACCATAGTTTCTGCGTACGTCCGTCCGGGAACCAAATGGGACCCTACGATTATGATGAAGATTATGCCGCGCTGCTCAGAAAACGTACTATTTTTGGGAGACTTTAACGCCCATAATCACACCTGGGGAGATAAGCACACAACGACGCGCGGATCTGCTCTTGAGTCCACAGTGGACACGCTAGGGCTTGTTCCACTGAATGATGGAACCGCAACATTTGTCAGACCGGGGGTCTCCAACAGTGTCCTTGACCTCAGCTTCGCTACACCACAACTCAGCGCGCGATGGCAACCTCAACATGACAGCTGGGGTAGTGATCATATCCCGATCATTATCTCCTCCCCAAGCTCTACAAGCGCTACACATAGGACCTGCAGAGTCGTCAATTGGGACCAATATCGCTCGCACCTCCAAGACCTTCTGTCTGAAGGAAACGTCGACCTTACAACGGCTATTTCCCAAGCCCTATATGACGCCACGAGGCTGGTCCAGGTCCCGGTCTCCCGCCCGAATCCTGACCTCCTCTACCTCAAGCTGAGGGCCCGCCGACGGCAAGCCCAAAATCGTTCGCTACGTACAAGAAGAATGGAGGACATCCAGCGCTATAGAAGAATCGACGCAGCTTTCCGCCGCCATACTAACCGACTTCAGCGAAAACAGTGGCGACAAAAATGTGAATCTCTTGGTGCTCCCGGTGGCGCAAGACAGGCTTGGAGGATGGCACGTGCTCTCGCATCGGAGGTAGTTCCTCGGCTTCAGATCTCAGCGTTTGCTATATCGCAAAATATTACATTAGCACGAACTGCCGAGCTTTTGGCCGATCAATTCTCCCGTCCAATCTCTCCCCCTTCAGGCTTTCAAATTAGCTCATCAGTGACCCCCCTTTATCAACTGCCCAACATAGACTCCGACTTCATGCTTAAAGAACTGCAGCACGCACTTAGAAGATCCACCCGTCGTAGAAGCACTCCAGGGCCGGACGGGATAACGTACCAGGCTTTAAACAACATAGACCCCGTCATGCTGCCTAAACTACTGGAGGAGCTAAACTCAGTCTGGAGCACGGCGGCACTGCCGGATGCCTGGCTCAACTCCGAAGTCATACCAATCCACAAACCAGGCAAACCGGTAGAAGATTTGTCATCATACCGACCAATTTCACTCACCTCCTGCCTTGGAAAAGTTCTCGAACGCATGATACTTAGAAGACTAGACTGGGCACTAGAAACAGTTGGCGCGATCCCTGAACAACTCTCTGGTTTCCGCCGTCGACGTTGCACGGCAGATGCTATTGGGGATCTGGTCTCAGCGTTGGAGGAAGTCAAACAAGCTAATCACGGTTACGCCGTCATTTTCCTTGATATTACCAAAGCATTTGATGCGATTCCTCACGCTACTGTCATTAACCAGCTTCAAGTCCTTGGCGTCACGGGACGTACTTTGGCATTTATCAAGGCCTTCCTCACTGGCCGGACTATGAAAGTTCGCATCGGAAACAATCGCAGCACAATCAGACACATAACTCAAGGAGTTCCTCAAGGAAGCGTACTAAGCCCGCTTCTCTTTAACGTTGCAATGGCCGCTCTTCCCCGAACTCTCGCCCGTGATGACCGAGCTCCAAGAATTCAAATATACGCGGACGATGTGGCCCTTTGGGCCACGTCACCAACAGCCATGCATGCTAAAATGCAACGTCGTTTACAGCTGACTCTTGACGGTATTTCAAAGGAAATTACTCGACTGGGTTTAACTATCTCGCCATCTAAAACCGCGGTACTTGCTCACCATCCACGAGGCTTTAAGGCCAGCTCTTTCACGTACTCTGTAAATGGCACTCCCATAACACGGATGCGCAACCACATGTACCTAGGACTGGTTATTGATGACTGCCTTTCCTGGCGTCCAGCCGTGAAACAAACAATATCTCGGTGCGATCTGCACCTCAACGTACTTCGCAGGATCCGAGGACAAACCTGGGGAACCTCGCAATCTATGACTCTACAAATGTATAGGGGACTGATACAATCCAGGTTGCTCTATGCGCTCCCACTTGTACTCGTACGGGACGCTCAGCTCACGAAGATGGAGATCATTCAAAGGAAAGCCCTCAGAATCTGCCTCGGTCTTCCCCCGTCTGCGCCGAACGTCCCTACTTTGGTCGAAGCTAGACAAAACACAATAGTCAATCTAGCGTTCCGTCAGGCACAACGACATCTCGCCCGGCAGACCCTCACAAGGTCTACTTCCAACCTCTTACAACGCTTCGATAGACGTCCCAATTCCCGCCTAGGAAAAGTCTACGCAGAGTTTAAGGAGTCGGTCGGTACATTGGATGAAGACCCTCCTCCACCACCCCCTCATACAACTGTGTTTCTGAATATATCAGAAGAAATTCCCCAACTACGCAGCAAAAAGTTGGTCTCGGATGTGGTTTCCCGTAATCTTGCGGAAGAACACGTCGACAGCTTTTTCGACGGTTGGATAAAAGTTTTCACCGATGGCTCAGTCTGTCATCAAAAGAAATCCTCAACTGCTGCTGTAGTTATCCCTGAACTCTCCATTATCAAGTCCGGTCGCCTCGACTTCCACACATCATCCACCATCGCAGAATTAAAAGCACTAGAACTTGCTCTCGATACCCTCCACGACTTTCAGAGCCCAGAAAAGGCGGCTTTGCTTACAGATTCCAGAGTGGCACTTCAAATCCTCACCAATCTGGAAGACGCACCTCCGATTGCCCGCATCATCGCTTTCAAAGTCGAATCCTTAGAAAAGAAAGGCTGGACTATAGCATTCCAGTGGTTGCCATCTCACTGTGGGATCGACGGCAACGAAAGGGCCGACCGAATCGCAGCTGAGGCACATGAACTGACCAACAGCACTCTCCACGTGCCGAAGATCAACGAGGCCAGGCTTCTCATCGCACGTGAGACGCAAAAAAGACACCCGGACGTGGGCGTAGCTGGAGGAACCCCACCATCACCGGTCCCCACCAAACTCGGCCGCCCAGAAGCAGCCCTTCTTCACCGACTCAGAACACGTTCAGCTTTTACGGCTTCTTGGCTTTACCGCATCAAGCGCGTGGACAGCCCACACTGCCAGACATGCCAAATTCCCGAGGATATAGAACATCTCCTTTGCGACTGCCCAATCTTAGACGCTCAGCGTTCTAGACTCCACCTTGAACTTCGTCAAATAGGCGCAGCAAGGCAGAACCTTTCGCACCTGCTTTTCCCGCCAGGTCCCAGGCGCATCGCTACGAAAACATTCGCGCTGCTTCTGACATTCCTGGAAGACACCGGCTTGGCTGACCATCTTTAATGCTTGGTGTTCCTTCCAGTTTCCAGTACGGCGGGCCCGGCTTGGCGCAAGGTCTGTGACTGTGACGGGTAACATGACCTTCTGCCATTGAGGTGGGAGACCTGACAGTGCTGGACTAGACACCACTTAATATCTTTTGATCAGTGTGTGTCTTGTTTGAACCTTCCTTCCCTTTCTTCCTTCTCTCTCTCTCTCTTTCCCTTTTCCTTTGTTGCTCAGACCGGGACTGGCAGGCCCCCATTAGAAGGAGTGGCCACACTGTTCCGGTCTTCCTTCCCCCTCCCCTTTCTTGGTTTTAAAATAAATTTCAACGCTTACACACACACACACTATGAGCTTGTGCTCGAGCCTTGGCTTTAATGCATCTTAGTGGGGAAGGCAATCATCGGGGATATATGACACACGATGATGCCAAGTCTGTTCACGGCGGACTCTCGTGCTGTTCTGATTGGAGGAGAAGGGGCGTGTAAAAAATTGGCAAATGGAACATGGTTAGCGACAGCGCAAATATATGTTGGAAAAAGTTCAGAACGTTAAAGTGCAGCAGCCTGAAACTTTGGAGTTAAGCAATTAGAGAATCATTTGAAGACATCTTTAGAGGTTCAGCCTTCTCTCCCCCCACACCAATATCGAAGGCTGCTAGGATATTGGTTCAGGCTAAGCCCTCTGTCTTTCAGTCAGCGAACTCGAGCCGTTCCACCTGACCTTGTTATTTCATAACAGATATGTTAGAAAATGGAATGCAGATTTTCTTTACACGGCCAAAACATAAAGTGTTGCCAAATAATACCTGCCATATTCATATTCTACATTTACAGACCGGGGCTGCCCCGCCTGTGGAGGGTGAAGATGCGAGCAGCCTCGAAGCCCACCAACAGTGCTGTGTGCTGAGAGCGAAAGCTGGTGCCTGACGAAGGCCAGATTGATCTTCGAAAGGATGCGACTGCCTGCAAATGGCTACATGTGTTGATATTGATGGGCATATAGACTGCAAAGAATGCTTATCCCTACCTGATGGATGCTAGGAGGGTATGCATTCCATATTTTTTTACTGATCTCTACAACAATTGCTAAATTGCGCTTCCCCGCTCCGTGATTGCAGCTGCCGGACGACCATCTTGGGACACGGAAAATTAACCTTTTCGAGCGTTGCAGAGGCTGGCCGGCAGCGTGCTGCAGACATGTTTTTTGCTCGTTTGTCGTCATTGGGAGCGTTAAAGTGGCCCTGCAATAACTTTTGGACTGGTTTTTAATTTGGATCGAACCTGAGCGCACTGAACGTAGTAATTTAAAGAAACTTTTCTCCAATTTCGCTTTATTTTAAAAGTTATAGGCAAATTAGACTTACAAAAACAAGCAAAAAATAACATCCTTCATGACGTCGTAGGTCCTGGTTTGAGTGGCCGTGAAGTAGTGAGCTCATCGAGCGCTCACGGCTGCCGCACTCAGTGTCGACGGCTCGAGAGGGTGCCACTAAAGCACGTGTTGACTAGGCTGTATGAAGTGGGCGGCCAGGGCAGCTCGCATTGCATTTGCCGCGCGATTAAAGACTAATTCGGCATAACACTTCATTGGCCACAAACGACGGTAAACACGGGGTAAAGATCAGTTCAGAACGGGAGCCACTTCGCGCTGCCATACCGCCAAAGGGTCAAATCGCCAGCCAAGCCCGCGCCGAAAGCCTTGGGAACGCTCGGAACCGGTCGGATCCTCGAGCCAGTATACGACC